TATATATATATATATACGTGTGTACGTACCGTGAAGACGAAGTTGTAGCCGAAAGCGAGAACTTCCCTCAGAAGATCCATTCGTCTCCAGATGAGCTTGAGATAACCGGGAGTCATAAACCGGTTCGGACCAGCTAATTCATCCGAACCGGTGGCATTGATCAGATAGCAATGCGGATGGACCTGCAAGCAACGGTCGTAAGCCTTCCGGTCCAAACAGACAGCAATTACATGTTTCAGGAGCCGGTGTGTTCCTTTTCCGATCTCGAAACTCTGTCGGAAAACATCGAACGTCGAGTTCGGAGCCGCCCATGCATGGTTTAACGCCGTTATTATCACCGTCTTGTCTTCCATCGCAGCGTTCATCAGTACTCTCTCTAGTTCCGAGACCGGTTTTCTCTAACGACATCAATATCATCATTAATTAGCATATGTTTCAGTTATGTAATTAATTTAAATGCTATTATAAGATTTTGATGGTGATTAAATAAATTTCTCATTTTAATTGTGGAATTAAGTCTTATACGTATTGGTCATTATTGTGTGGCCAGACGGAAACGTATGCCACATAGAGTCGTTTCGTTTCAAATTAAGCTAAGCATCATATTTTTTCTACGAACATCTTTTTTTAATGTTTTTATTCGTGATGATTCCTGAATAACTTATATGCATGTATATATAAGATCAAAACCTGCATCTTGATCATCATCATTCACGAATTTTCGTAACAATTCACGAATAATCAACTTAACGTATATTACGTATATGTATATATATGCGGACCTCAAAACCAGGATTTTGATCATCATCATCATCATTCCGAATATGCATAGCAATACCATGAATAATCAACTTAACGTGCATATACAGACATAAATATATACACATGCTGCATGCACACACACGAGTAATGTACGTATATATATGTATATGTGAACTCACCGTTTCTAAAGAAGTAGGGTTACCGATTTTAGCAGAGTACCAATCGGTCTTCCATGGAGGAAACGCCATGTTCAACGGATTATCGGCGGATCTGTATATGAGAAGGCATGAAAGTGAAACGGCGGTGAGCAAAAACACCACTCTGATGACATCTCTCTGGCCGGCGGTGATCTCCGCCGCCGGAAACGCCAGATTTTTTCTACCTCCGACCACCGCTTCGTAGCCGGAAGAAGAAGAAGAAGATTCATGAGAGCTCACGTCCGTCCTCATGGTTCTTGACAATGAATCTTTCTGCCTGTTTTTCCTCTCAATTACCACATTCCTCTCCTTTTAATACTCTCTCTCTCTCTCTCTCTCTCTCTCTCTTCCTTTACCGTATCTTACGAAACAAGAAAATTACACCATTTTCTGTAAGTTTTATTTATTAGAATACCAAAAAAAATTGTTATGATCATGGGAGTTATTGCATGCACCGAGATTCAAACCGGTGCTGTGGTGTTGGTTCGGTTTGATGATATATCACCTATGATATCCCGGTTTGAAACAAAATATATATATATATACCCTTTTGAAGGTTTTCCAAAAGGGAACTCCTAATTCGCAAAAATATGTAAAAAATACTTAAATATAAATAAAATTAGTGTCTGATCTGTCTTGGATCCGGTTACGTATTTATGTTAGGATAAAGGCAACGCACGAGAAATGTCAATGGCTTTGAGATTTGACATTCACGTTGAGGGAATTAGGAGAATTGTGGAGTCAGACACTTGCGCCACTTTGCTTCTTACTAATCGGTGGATTAACGATGAAGAAAAAGGTAATTAACTTCCTAATTTAATCATCATATGTCGAGCGAAACATGTGATGATTAAATCATAAAATTAGATAAGCTATTATAAAACTAAAACAATATATCAGCTTAGAAATGTCAAGTAAATATATATAAATTTCATTATGATCATTCGATTTTTTTTACAAAATATAGTGAGTCGTTACGATTTGATAGATAGTTTTCTATTGACGTTCTCATACAATTTGTTGACTCTTATAATAATTTCTATGTATTATAAAAATGTGATTTAATTTCATAAGATTCTGCATCAGAAATTAATCACTGCCTCTAAAGAAACGTAACGTTCCAACGAGTTAGTGACTATAGCATTAGACAAAAGGTCAACAGTAAGACATCTGAAATTGGAAAATTTGTTTTATCCTATTCCCTGTTTATCCCATAAAACCGAGGGGATTTACGAGAATGCCATCTTCCTCTTCCTTTTTCCTTTCTTCCATGTGTTCAGAACTCCAAGTCACACCTCCTTGAACTCTTTCCTTTCTTTTTCTCATTTCTGAAACCCTAATTTAATCGTTCGAAGCCCTAATCCTCCATGGATCTCGCGCCGGAGGAGCTTCAATTTCTCAGCATTCGAGGCATATTGCGGGAGTCGACTTCGATCCCAAAATTTTCGCCCAAAACATTCTACCTCGTTACATTAACCCTAATTTTCCCCCTCTCCTTTGCAATCCTCGCGCACTCCCTCTTCACAGACCCGATCTTAGCTCAGCTCGACTTCTACCCTTCCTCGGATTCAGGTCAGATCCACCTTGGATTTATTGCCCTCCTCTTCCTCCTGTTCTGCTACCTCATCTTCCTCTTCGCCTTCTCCCTCCTCTCCACCGCCGCCGTCGTCTTCACCGTTGCCTCCCTCTACACAAGCAAACCCGTTTCATTCTCATCCACAATGTTCTCCATTCCCCGTGTGCTGAAGCGGCTCTTCATCACTTTCCTCTGGGTCTCGCTCTTGATGCTCGCGTACAACACCGTCTTTTTCATCTTTGTGGTAGTCTTCCTCATAGCCATTGATCTACAGAACGTGCCTCTCGCCATGTTTTCGATTCTGGTGATTTTTGTTCTGTTCTTAGTCGTTCATGTTTATATCACAGCATTGTGGCATTTAGCTAGCGTAGTATCAGTTCTCGAGCCTGTGTATGGATTCGGGGCGATGAAGAAGAGCTATGAGCTACTGAAAGGCAGAACTCGAATGGCTTTTTCGATGGTATTCGATTATTTAGCACTCTGTGGAGTAATCGGGGGAGTTTTTAGGAGTGTGGTTGTTCACGGTGGAGAAGATTATGGATTGTTTACGAGAATCGCCACTGGAGGGTTCTTGGTCGGTGTTCTTGTCATATTGAATCTAGTGGGACTGCTTGTTCAGAGCGTCTTCTACTATGTATGCAAGAGCTATCACCACCAGGCTATCGATAAGATCGCACTGAACGATCATCTCGGCGGGTATCTCGGCGAATACGTGCCTCTGAAGAACAGCAGCGGCATTCAGATGGAGAACTTTTGAGGCTTGACAGATCAAACAGAGACCAGGTCTTTGTTGTTTTGTCTTGTAATGTAAAGTCGTAGGCTTTTACCTGATTATCCAGTTTCATGGGGGAAGGTTCTGATGATTTGTAGATCTTTTGTTACTTGTCTGAATCACGCATCAAAGCGTTTCTCTAGATGGGTCTTGTTCACTTTCATGGCTTGGCCATTCTTCTCAGCACATGCTCTCTGAGAATCACTGAGACATGTGAAAGAAAAGAACAGAGCTTGGAGTTGGACATGTTACTTAGATGCTCATTGTTGCTAAACAAGACGAAACCTAATTAAAAAACTGCTCAAAGGGCATTTGAAACATGTTCAAACCAATACAGGATGTGTTTTTAGCTAAGAATCATAAAGGTCCCAACTTTACCTGAAAATATAGAAAAAAATCCAAACTTTAATCTGTATTAAAGAAAATAATGCTTTTAAGGAATAATTTTGTGGATTTTTAAGGTTTTTATGCTAATTTCTCTTTTTTTCTGTAAATTATGTCCATAGCCAGATAAAATGGACTGTCTTGACACTCCTTCGGGGAGGAGTAGAAGCCTGCGAGATGCGTAGTTGCCGTTAGATTTGACGGTGGAGATACCGGAATAACACTATGCTGAGATCACGGCGTTCCCGTTCCCGTCACGGCGCCCAGCTCTGCGCCGTTACGTCCGCCGTCCTCCTCCTCGTCTCCGTCTCGCTTCTCTACACTCGCCTCTCTCTCTTCTCCTCCCACTCGCCGACCTATCTCCGCTCCGACTCCGCCGACGACGCCGTCTTGTTCCCGGATTCTATCCTTGTCTCCGACTCCGACGTCGTCGACGGTGGCGGATCTACCTCCACCGAGGATCGAATCGACGAGCACGACGATGCGATCGATGGCGATCGTAACGACGGCGTTTTGATCGAGGAGGAGGAGAATCAGGACGCGGAGCAGGAGCAGGAAGTGGATCCTGATCGGAGCAAGGGGTCTGCGTCTGGGTTTTACTTCGACCACGTCCATGGCGTCATCAGGCGAGCTTTCAACAAGCGTTCGATCGACGAGTGGGATTATGATTACACAGGGTTTAGTTTCGGATCAGGAGCTGACGATTCGATCGAGAAGAGTAAGGCCGCCTTCGGATCTGATGATATTCCGGTCGACGAAGCCATTCGGAGGAAGATCATCGAGGTTTCGAGTGTGGAAGACGCGTTTTTGCTGAAATCCGGTAAGAGAGTGTCGCCTTTGAGAGAAGGTTGGGGTGATTGGTTTGACAAGAAAGGCGATTTCTTGAGGAGAGATAGAATGTTCAAGTCGAATATAGAGATATTGAATCCGCTGAATAATCCGATGTTGCAGGATCCGGATGGGGTGGGGATCAATGGCCTGACAAGAGGGGATAGGGTGGTGCAGAAATGGCTGTTGAATGAGTTTAGGAAAAACCCTTTTCCGACAAAGAATCCTTTGAGTGTTTCGGAGAAGAAAGAACGATCTGACATTAGAGAAACCAGACATAGGATTAGGTTGCAGAATAGTGTTGAAGGGAGAAGAGAAATGGATGAAAGTGGTGAAGTAAAGAGAGGCGAACGTAAGACACTGGTCAATGATGGAGGGAATGTAAAGGTGAAACCTTTGAATGAAGATGAGAAATTCGTCCAGAAGAGTGATGATAAGAAGAGCTCGGCCACATCGAGCGGCGGCAACCAAAGAAGTGGAAAGAAGAGTTCTTCGAATTCCGAGAAGGTGGAACTGAAGAATGATCTTTCAGGACATGTATATGCAGATGGAACGAGATGGGGATATTTCCCTGGTCTAGCTTCGAGTTTGTCGTTCTCAGACTTCATGGATTCGTTCTTCGGTAACGAGAAATGCAGTATGAGAGTGTTTATGGTGTGGAATTCACCTCCTTGGATGTACAGTGTTAGGCACCAAAGAGGGCTCGAGAGTTTACTTTCCCAACATCCAGACGCATGTGTCGTGGTTTTTTCAGAGACAATCGAGCTCGATTTTTTCAGAAACACCTTCGTGAAAGATGGGTAAGTCGAAAGATATCTCCTTTATACTCCTTCTGTCCTTCAGGCCACAAATACACACACACATACATATACATATACATATACATATACATATATATAATCTGAGGTGATGAGTTCTTTTTATGTTTCTGCAGTTACAGAGTTGCTGTCGCCATGCCAAATCTTGACGAGTTGCTGAAGGATACGCCTACACATATATTTGCTTCTGTGTGGTTTGATTGGAGAAAGACAAAGTTTTATCCAACACACTATAGTGAACTTGTCCGGCTTGCTGCCCTGTACAAGTAAAAACTCTGCTCAATCGGCTTTTGTAGACTTCTGTTTTCACACTTGAATCCTCTGTTTATTTCACCCTTCTTCCGAT